GTCCATTGCTGAGCCTCTTGTGATGTTGCTTTTGTGATAAGACCAACTATTAAGCAGTAAATCGAATGCTCTTCGAATCCTAAATATAAAACTGCGACTTCTTCACTCACTTAGTTTGACAAACACTTTTTTTTTTTGGACAAAACACAAAACACATTATTTATTCCGGTCAAATTATCAAATAATGCCTTTTAAAAAAAGAAGTTTAATTGCATCGCGTGTACAGAATCTCTCACAACCAGTAAAACAAACCGGACTAAGATTATGAGAGACTATCAAATGGGTGGTTGGAAGCTATAGCCTATCAATATGTGCTCTTTATAATACTCCTGTGGGCCATAATTTAAAACCTAATTTGAGAGTTAATATTAGTCTTATATGTAATATATATTTCATAGATTTATCAATTTTTTTTAAATTAACCTTATTGATGTTCTCTTAACAATAATAAAATAAGAAAGAAAGGGAGAAAACTAAAAAAGATGATTAGGATGTTTTAAAAAAATATATATCATATTAACTAATTTAACTAACATCTTTAATCAACTCAAATGATTAATATATCATATTAACTAATTTAACTAACAAGTAAATGAATGGTCAAAAGCTTAAGAGCGGTGTACCGAACACTCTGTCTTGAACCTCTTTATGTAGGCCACGGAGCATCTGAATGTTGGGCACCACACTTATGACAATAAACACAATTAAATCTTCGGTTTCAGACATGGGCACAATAAACAATATTTACACCTTTGGTTATGAATGTTAAAGGCATTCAAAAATTGAATTTCTGGATGCTGGCAAGCATTAATCTATGAAAGATGGTTTTAAGGATTAATGAAGGGATAATGCCAGTTTAAAAACAAACAAAACTTCCCTAATATTCAGTAACCTCTGGCTAATTCAAAAAACTGATAAAGCAAAGGTTTTTTGTTAAGCTCTTTAAGCACAATTTTATAATTCATTTTTGCAAAAGTGTTTTGTAAAAAGTACCCAATGCTGTCTTAACTCATCATGCGCAGGGGAGAATCACCAGTTTTTAACTATTTTTCTCTCCGGTAAAGCGGAGTTGTGCGCGTGAGATCTTCCTTCTTTTTTAGGCCCATTCACTAGCCTAATAATATAAGATAGTATATATACACTTGAGCCCCCTCTCTCTTGAACAATGTGGGACTTCACTTTTGACAAACTCTCTTATATTCACAGCAATATTTTCTTATATAACAATGTGCAGTTATATATATATATATATATATATTCATATAATCTATTTTATACATAATTGGTGGATAAATTTTAGTTTCTAATATAAATGACTTATCATCCCAAGCACTATCATTTGTTATTCCAAGCACTTTTACTAGTCAATGCTTGCACCTTAGGTTGTGACTATCAAAATTTTAGTGACAAAATTTTCATCGCTAATTTCGCCATTAAAAAAATAAGATAAAGCAAGTTTGACCTCTAGAATACATAGAAGTAACGCCATATCTTGACACAAACCCTTAAAATATTAATTCTGTAATCTTTGCAATTTGAATTGTCACAATTCACTGCCAACATTGAATTGTTTATGCACTAAGCTGCATTATTAATCAGCCTATTTTGGAATTAACAAATCGACTGCCTATATAGAAGCTGTCCAACAAATATACACCACAATGACAAATCCACTTTTCATGTTGTCTATTCAAAACAGAGATGAAATGGGAGATACTTACTATGTCCCTTGTTTTTTTTGTCCCCTCATAATAGAGGTAAAAAGTCTGCCAGAATAGAAATAAAAAGTGTCTGCGGTAGTAGTGTATTAAAAAATAATAATAATAATAACATGATCTTTGTCTCCCATGCAACACATTTGTAGAAATAGGAGATTTGGTTTCAATATTAATTTGGCACCCCGAAATTTCACTGCAATACTAGTAGGTTGGCTTATTTTAAGTAATCTTACATATACAAGATAAATATATAGAGGGGGGGAAAATTTGCGTTGGCCAAAAAAAGGTAGATGCTTTGCATTGAAATTCATGATCTTCAACTTTCTTTAATCAGTTTTAATTAAGGATAGATGAAATAACACATAATAGGTGAGAAAAAACAAATACAATTCGGTACATATTGCGGTGCCAGCTTTGTCATGACAATTTCAATTTTCATCCAATGGGCGAATCAGTCAGCTATCAATTATTTAGTTATAAAATGATTTAGTGCATAATTTATTTAATTTTATTCCAAAATTAGCTTTTCATCCTGTTATTTATTTATTTATCATTCACTTGAAATCTAAGGTCAAACTAAGGGGAAAAAAATTAGGTAAAGATGAGTAAAAGCAGCCGAAAGGTGTCTAGTCCTATGGCCTATTGAGGATTATATACGTACGAAATCAATCAAGGATACAATTAACCTAGGGAAAATTTCACTAAGTCCCAAGGAATAAAGAATACAGCAAAAAGGTGTCATAATTAGAAGTCCCAAAGGGACCTAAGCGTAAGAGATTGTAATCTAATAAAAAGTAAAAAGACCTCATACCCCTTGCCAATTCCTTTACTCATTAATACATGCTATACACAGTTGTTAATATAGCTAGTTTAATTGTTAATAGCAACTATGTGGTGCACATTGATATTAGGTGTTCATATATACCGTGACAGTTGTTAATACTTACACCTTAACTTGTCATTTTTATGATGCTAAAAGTCTTGTTAATGTAGGAACTATGTGGTGCACATTGATATTAGGTGTTCATATATACCGTGATAGTTGTTAATAGTTACACCTTAACTTGTCATTTTTATGATGCTAAAAGTCTTGTTAATGTAGGTACCATCACTTGTCATTACAAGCACCCTGGGTTGGTTTTTAAAGTTTTATTTTATTAATTTGATTTGTAGAGTTTCATTTGAAAATTTAATTATGTTTTAGGCAATGAATGCAATGTATACTCTTTAAGTTATATATGATCATTTAAAATGGTTGCATTTTGAATAAGTTAATTATTTTAAAATAATATGAATTGTCATTTGAGTTAAGGGTAAAAAATGCGCATGAAAATATATCAAAAGTTCACTCAATACATGAACTTTTTTTGGGTTCAAATATGCTAGTCAAAGCGTAAAAAAATGTCAATAATGCCAGCACCATTAACGCCCATTTTTTAAGCGGTGGGACTCACTTTTTTTTTAATGAAAGTATCAAAATACCCCCAGTTAAAACAAAAAAAAAGTTGAGTTAAAAATGCCAGTGACTTTATATCAAAAGTTTTACCAACCACTATATAATTTTTAATAAAAGTACCAAAATATCCCCAATCTTGAAGGGCGATAGCATTAGAGTGTGTTAGAGATTATTAATTATAACAAATTTTTATAATTAAAATAAATTGTGTAAAAAATTTTAAGCTTGAATTAAATTGCTGTTTAGGGATAAGTTTTTTATATCCCTAATCTTTTCTTTTAACAGACTTTCCAAGTATCTTTTAAAAATAAGTTATTTGTACCAACCAAATATTCAGTTGTGTGCTTATCCTCTGGTCTATGTTGTACTATCCTAAATTAATTTCTAGTATTTATGTAGGAAAAAATTCAAAAAAATAATAAAATAAAATAAATAATAATATTTTATTATTATAATAAAATAATATATTTTATTTAAAAAATAAGGAAAGAGTCAACAAATACGGTGGAAAGAGATAAAATAAAAGAAGAAGGAAAGTTGGGGATTGGAAAATAGGAGTTGGGAGTTAAGAGAATTTATGAGGGTGCCTAATAAATGTGTGGGGGCCTAATAAATGTGCGGGGCTGTTATTTTAACACTCCCTGCAATCCAATTTTCCTCGGTGCATGAGAGAAAGGGAAAGATAGAATAGTGTGTGTGAAAGAGCGAGAGGCGCATACTAGTAAAGGAGAGGACAAGCTTTGAAAATAATTTAAGTACCTGAAATTACTTCTTTTTATCAAACTTCGTTCATAAATATTTCTTATATATTTTACACTTTCTAATAGTAGTATTATTATAGTGATTAGAGAAAATTTTGAGACCTATATGTGAGATAAGTTTTGAGTTTTGGTAATAGATAATGATAGAAATTTAGAAATAAATGAATTGTTAATTTTAATCTATTTAGTTTTGCCTATTTGTTGGTTTTTAGTACTTAAATTAATTTTTCTAGTTGAAAAATCTGTTATATATGATATATCATATTTTCACCAATTAAAATGAAGTTAAATAATTTATTTGAGGTATTTAACATGTTATTGAGATTTTAATCTGTTTAGTTTTATTTATTTAGTGACTGGAGGTTTTAAAATAATTATTTAACTAAAAAATTTATTATTTATGAAAAAATATATTCATCTATTTAAGACTAATATCTGTCAGAGTGAAAGCATTAAATTTAAAACTTTTCCAACAAATGTGCATCTTGGAATTCAAAGTTGCACTCTCCTCTTTGCGATGGTGCTTACTATCTCAACCAACAATTTATTTACATTTAAAAAATTCACAATTATTTTTTTAAAAAAAACCATAAAAGAGAGATGCTCCACTGTAAAAGCCCTATCATCGTACTTGTGTTCTGCTTTTTAGAAGAGTGGGACCGCCTACTATCTTAACTGACAATTGTTAGTAAACTTACTTTTATTATGACAAGATTTTGAATGTCTAATAATTCTTTTTGCTGTGCTAAACCTCTATATCAGGTATAAATGTTATATTTACCCGGTTTTGCATTTTGTAAGATAAAGACAAATCTATGGTATTGGAACATTCAAATAATCTTAACCGTACCTTTGATTATCAATATATATATATATATATATATCCACATCAAGTGCAAAACTTATTCAATTATATCACCCTGTTAGGCTAGTTACATTAGGGTTGTACCGAACACTATCTTGAAGCTAGCGCCCATCCCTGCCTTCTATATAAAATACTTTTGATTATATCCTTCTTCCATATTCAGAATGAAATCTCTCCCAAATTTCATTCAAAATCTGATGATGGATGCCATAAGCCAGTGGGATCCTTTGACTCTTGTGATCTTTCTTGCTTTATCGGGAATGTTCGCAGTTTCTTGCTATGCATGGGTTTATTTCATCAAACACCATCAGTGCAACACTCCTCCAGGTCCACCAGGCCTTCCCTTGATCGGCAATCTTCTATCTCTCGATCCTGAACTTCACAAACAGTTCACCTCTTTGTCTCAAACCTACGGTCCCATCTTTTCGCTCCGACTCGGCCCCAGATACGGCGTCGTCGTGTCCTCCCCTTCAATCGCTCGTCAAGTGCTCAGAGACCATGACGTCATTTTCGCTAACCATGACGTTCCGGCCGCCGTCAGGGTGGCAACTGAAGGTGCAAGTGACATACTTTGGACCCCTTATGGATCTGAGTGGCGAATGCTGAGGAAAGTGTTTGTGCAGTGGATGGTCAGCAACTACACCTTAGATTCCGTCCACATGCTTCGTCGCAAGGAGGTTCGGAAAATGGTGGGCTATCTATACGGTCGGGTCGGGTTTCAAGTGAATATTGGGGAGCAGATGTTTTTAACGGTGTTGAACGTGATCACTAGCATGATATGGGGCGGAACGGTGGAAGAAGGCGGTGATGAGAGGGCCATTGTGGGAGCAGAGTTAAGGAAAGTGGTGGCGGACTTCACGGAGCTGTTGGGTAAGCCGAACATATCGGACTTCTTTCCTGGGTTGGTGAAGTTTGGCTTGCAGGGAGTGGAGAAACAGATGGGTTCTTTGGTTCAGCGGTTTGACCAGATCTTCGAGAAGATACTCAGGCAGAGATTAAAGATGAACAAGGAGAGTGGCAACAAAGAAGATAGTAAAGATTTTTTGGACTTCTTGTTGAAACTGAAGGACGATGAAAATGCCAAGCTACCACTCACCATGGCACACATTAAGGGCCTCCTCATGGTATATCTTTCTTTCGCAAGGAGGTTCGGAAAATGGTGGGCTATCTATACGGTCGGGTCGGGTTTCAAGTGAATATTGGGGAGCAGATGTTTTTAACGGTGTTGAACGTGATCACTAGCATGATATGGGGCGGAACGGTGGAAGAAGGCGGTGATGAGAGGGCCATTGTGGGAGCAGAGTTAAGGAAAGTGGTGGCGGACTTCACGGAGCTGTTGGGTAAGCCGAACATATCGGACTTCTTTCCTGGGTTGGTGAAGTTTGGCTTGCAGGGAGTGGAGAAACAGATGGGTTCTTTGGTTCAGCGGTTTGACCAGATCTTCGAGAAGATACTCAGGCAGAGATTAAAGATGAACAAGGAGAGTGGCAACAAAGAAGATAGTAGCGGTTTGACCAGATTTCGAGAAGATACTTCTTGGCAGAGATTAAAGATGAACAAGGAGAGTGGCAAAAAGAAGATAAAAGATTTTTGGACTTCTTGTTGAAAATGAAAATGCCAAGCTACCACTCACCATGGCACACATTAAGGGCCTCCTCATGGTATATCTTTCTTTTACCTTTTAACTTTTCCGCATATTTAAGCATAAGAAATATTTGAAATGTTTTATTTATCTAAATAATATGCCTACTTATATAAGTTCAAACAATTTTACAGCAAAAAATGTATTTGTAAAAGATTGACTAGGGCTAGTAATACAAACCAACCTGCGACGACTTATAGGTCTAACGATGCAGATTAAAAAGGCTCATTTTACTGACGGTTTAGCAAATCCAACCCATATTACTAGTTCTAAGATTGACTAAACAAATATACTTCTTCAAACTTTGAGTATATGTAAATAAATTCTTTAAAATTTAAGCCACTTGCATAAAATTAATGAATAAAATAAATAGTACATAGGAATTATCAGTATAAATGTGGAAGTTCATAAAGGTTTATGGTAAAGTTTCAAAGGTCGTTAGAGAGTTTATTTTACATACAAACATAACACACAGTTTAGAGAGCTTTATATAATTGAGCCTTAATATTACTATAAAATATTGGCAATTAAGTCTTAAATATTGTAGCTTTTATCCCAAACCTTGTGTGATGCATGAAAAGATATGTCCTACACTATAAACATAAAATCTATTTAGCAAGTAAATCATTAATACACAGTCATGCACGCAGACTAGGGTGGAGATAGTTTAATTAATTGATTACCAATTATTTGTTATGTGAAAATTAAGGACATGGTGGTGGGCGGAACTGACACATCAGCTAACACAATGGAGTTTGCAATGGCTGAGATTATGTCCAATCCAGATGTGATGAAGAGAATCCGACAAGAACTAGAAAGTGTTGCGGGACAAGACAACGTTGTAGAAGAGTCTCATATTCACAAGCTTCCTTACTTGCTCGCAGTTGTAAAAGAAACTATGAGGTTGTACCCAGTCGTTCCACTGTTAGTTCCTCATTGTCCAAGTGAAACAATCACTGTAGGAGGCTACAAAATCCCAAAAGGCTCTCGTGTGTTCGTGAATGTGTGGGCAATACATAGAGACCCTTCTGTTTATGATAATCCTTTGGACTTTAATCCCTCCAGGTTCTTAGATTCAAAACCGGATTTTAGAGGAAATGACTTTAGGTATTTACCATTTGGGTCTGGACGAAGAATCTGTGCAGGAATAACTCTGGCTGAGAAGAACTTGTTGTATTCTCTTGCAATACTAATGCATTCATTTGATTGGAAAGTGCCTCCAGGCCAAAAGTTGGATATATCTGAGAAGTTTGGTACTGTGCTGAAGAAGAAAACACCTCTAGTTGCCATTCCTACACCACGATTATCCAATCCAGCTCTTTATGAGTGATTCAAGGTAAGCAGAGAATCTTGTTTACGTGAGCATACTTACGATCTTGTTTACGTGAGCATACTTACAAATTTATCAATATTTTATAAATATTTAATTAATTTTATATATAAAAGATAAATCTTGCCATAAAATCCACTAATGTCATTTTTTATTTTGCAGGATATGTAAAGGAGAATATTTAAAAAGAAAATATAAAAATTAACAAAAAGAGGGGGAAAAAAACAGAGTAAGAAGGAGTAGTAAACGCCGCGGCGCTAGGCAAATTAAAGAAGCAATTAATGAAGAAGACGAGGAATGCAAAAATAGGTTCAATGTGTTATAAATATTATAACATGTGGATGTCCATCTCCTCTTCTTCCTCTTCCTCTTCCTCTCAACTTCATCATCAACTCCCACTACTTCCACTAGGCATTAATTTTCCACTACTCCATTACCTTTGCACTATGGCTTTAATCTTGTAACTCCCCCCACTCATATTCATATGGTTTATTGTCTACTATCTATCATTTAAGTACAAATGTAACTTATGTGTAAGACTATGCCTATAAATAAGGCATGTTATTGTATTGTGATGCAAGTGAAGCAAGTGAAGGAATACAATATCATTCTCTCATTTTCTTGTCTACTTCTCTTCTCTAATCTACTTTCATTGTTGGTTAATTTCATAGCACAATGGAATATATAGTACATATATATACACACACATATATAAGAAGCACCAATAACACATGTGTGCGCATATTCGTTGTCCATTTGCATCGCGAGAGAGAGAGAGAGAGCTCAGATACGTCCTCAAATGCGGTGATGACATAGAATTAAAAAGAAGAAAACGGGTGGCGTGGATGGAGGAAGCTTAGGGTTCTGAGATGCGAAAGATCAGCGTCACGGACAAAAATTCAGCAAGTTTCTCCTTTATTTTCTTTTCTTTTCCATATCTTTTATTTTATGCTCATTGGGCTCTTATTTTATTTATGAGAATGTTCAATATATGTAGTTAAAAACTTCACTTTGGATTATTGTACACTACCTGTGATTAGCGATGGAATCGAATCATTGCTAATTCTTCTATCACTAATTGAATTAGTGAAGGAATTTTTCCATTGTTAATCTATTGCTAACTAGTGATGGAAAATTTCTGTCACAAATTATTGACGCAAAATTATGTCACTAATTCGTCACTAATGCAATTTTTTTAAAAAAAACTAAAATGTCACGTGATGCCTTTACTAGCCACCACATTATCACCGATGACAGACCAACCGCCCTCCACACTGATGTAGACCCAATAGGAACTTGTCCTATAAAACCCAAAAATTACAAAGTAAGCAACGAGTAGCAGAAGTAATTAAGAAATAAAATAAGAAGAATGAGAAAAGAAATAAGTGATCTTGAAACTAGAAACCCAATGAATATGCATTCCAGAAAACATTGAGTAAATAAAACTAAGCATCCAAAGGAAACAATGGCTCAAGAACTCCAAATGTAACAAGTACTAGAGTAGATCGCTCTCTTGTGCTATCTAACATTCTATTAAAAATACGTAACCAACAAGTAAAAACTTGTCAAAAGAAAATTCTTACTCATAAATTCATAATTGATCTACTCAAAAAGCATACATAGGAGGAGTATTTATTATTCAATAAACTGACTCCAACCAGAACTCTTAACTTACTAAGACTTTTCTAAATATCCTAAGTTAATTTAAAAACCCAAATGAATTAGGATAGATAATGATAGATATGGTTAAAAGATAAATAAAAATATTAGATTATTTAGATAATCTAATTTGTGTGAAAAGGTCTACTAGATAATGAATTAATTAATGAAGGGCATGAAGGACATGTATGGAAGGATATTATATTATTTAAGATAATCTAATCCACGAATTGATAGGGATTAATGGTCAACAAAAATATTTTAAATTTGGATAAATCAAATCATGGAAGACAATCTGAGTATAGGATATAGAATCAAATTATGAAAGATAATCTGATTTGCGTGAGGATAATATCTGAGGCTTTTAAACTAAAAGATTAGTTACATAATAATAAATCCTCATATGCCACTAATGATTAAATGACACCTAAACACTAATTAATGACTCTTGACTCATGGCCTTATTAGGAAAACAAAAAATCACAAATAAATAGAAAAGTTGCTTAAACAAAATAAACAGACTCTGGCTAGATTCATCTTCAAGTAATGCTTTTTGGGCCTAAATATCCAAAACATTATTCCTCCTCAAAACAAAGTACTTGAACGAAGGACCTTGTGTGTGCGCACATATCTTGACTAGTTGAGATGTAATAAACCTGTTGAAGTTTTATTCAAAATTAAATATATATATATAGATATATATAAATATTTTTTTACCCAAACAATTATATATACATGTACATTATTAAAAACTAAAAATTAACTTTATGATCATTTTAATTTTAACTAATTTTATGGGGAAATAATTTTTAAATATTTGTTTTACTATTTATTTATAATTTTTCATTTTTCAAAAAAAATATCTTTAACATACTATTAATTTCTAATGAAACTAATTTTGAATTTTAAATAATAAATAATTTTTTCATAAATATATTTTTTAAATTTAACTTTTTCAATTAACATTGGTAAGATATATAATTTAATTATCTATGTATTATATTACATTATTTTATATTATCTATATTTGTTTTATATATTTGATGAAAACCATTTATAATTAGTAAAAAAATCTAATTATTCAAAAAATAACTAGTATACTAAAATCTAATAAATTAGTCTATATAAAAAATTAAATGATTTGAATATATTATAATAAACAACATTCTCCTACTTATATGTGTATCATATATAATCTCTGCTTTTAAAATTTTTTTGTAGATACTATGTATTTTTACGTTTAAGACCAAAATCAATCTATATCATGAGTTACTAATTATATCATGATTAAATTTCATTATTTAATGATTGAAATTCAAAATTCACTTCAATATTAGTTTGATTTATAATCATAAATTGAGGTGCTCATATAAATATATTTTTCAGTTTTGAATTTCTCTCATGTATTATATCTTTCAATACATTATATATAATAGAATTATTGCTTTCTTATATCAATTTGTACAAGAAATTTATTAATATTCTTATCATATTTATTTAATTATTATTAATAATCAAGAAGAATCGATTTTAATGAAACATAAACAAATTTTCTAAGAAATTGTCTTCCTGTCTTAGTATGTATATAATGATGAGATGAATGATGATGATACATTTATTAACACTGACTCCACAAATATATCAATTTATTTTGCAATTGAAATTATTATAGTTCTAATTATGTTACTATATAAATTGTTGTAGGATTATAATCTAAAATAATGAAATTTAAGATTAGCGACGTAATAGACTTAGTGACAAAATTAGTGACAAAAATTTTCATGGCAAACAATTTAGCATGGAAATTAGTGACAAATTTTTCTATTTGCTTAAAATTTTATAATTAAAATTATTGAAAGAATTAGTGATGAAAATTTTTGATGAAGAAATTCTGTCACCAAATATTTATCGACAAATTTTTTGATGGATTAGCAATAGAATTTAGCGGCATTTATTTCATTGCTAATTCATTACTAAATTTAGCGACAAAATAATTTTTTATCACTGATTTCATCATTAATAACTTGTTTTTTTTTTTTGTAGTGGTAGTTTAATTATGAATCAGTGATTGATAAAATATTAGAGGAATTGGATAGTGGTGAGTAATCAATCTTTATATGATCTTGGGTGGTAAAAGGCTAGGGTTAGTGTGGACTTGGGAAGGCAAAAAATCTACTTTTCATTTACTACTTGAGAGAATATTGCATGTTACCTTTGATTTTTAATATAAAAGTTAGATAACTAATTTGAAAAGCAGAATGATTAGTAAGGATATTTTTTATGACAGTGCTTACACTTTATGGGAGAAAAAGAATTCCAACCACTGCTAAAGTTGCTTTAGTTGATACTACCTATATTTATAGTAATGCTCTGACTGGTGCTATCCTAGCCACTCTTAGCAACGGTAGTGTTATTCTTACCATGACTCCATATTTCAACATAAAACTCTCATATTCAACTTTGACGGATAGATTAAAGGTCCAGGTCCAGATAGTTGGAACAGATCAAGAGCCCAGAGCTATCGCAGCAACTCTTCATCATCAAATTATCTACAGACTCCCGAATCATTCTCTTGATCTCCATTTTCCAAATTCTACTAGAGATGCTCTTTATGTGGTTTCTGATAGAGTTGATGATACTTCCATATCCAGATTCCTCGACAGATCCCTAAAGAAGAACTTGCTCAGTTGATGCCTCTTAAATGGATCACTAATTATGAAAGGCAATTTCATGGTGTTCAAAGGGATGTCCATACTTCTACTCCTCAGACAGAAAAAGGCTTCCAGATGGCACAATCAAAATTGTCTTCTCAAAGCCAGGCCAAGAAGGTCCTTCTATTCCTTCCAAACATATTTTGTCAATCATCCTGGCCTATGTTCCATCCAAGTCCTCCAATTGCTTGGGTAGATAAAAATGCCAAACCATGTTATGTGTCTTAGATAAATGGTCATTTTATCTAGGATCATGCATCAGAAGAATGTGATCCTGATTGTGAATGCGATACACCTTATTAGTGGGAAGCATCAGACGATGAAGATGAACCTGGATGGTCTTATCCCATAAGATATGCAGTAAAGAAGAAAAAGGAGAAGAAAATCCATGCATCTCCTGGTTTCCATAAGAATCATAGTCATCACTATGATGATGATGCTGATGATGCTGATGATCATGGCCCAAAGCAGAGAGCTAGAAATTGGAAAGTTCCTATTCTTTCTGTTTCTTCGAATGAATTATCATTGTATGATTTACTTAAAGAAACAGCTCATGGAAATCTCCTTCCTAAGAGAAGGCCAGATCCAACAATTTCTATTATTCAACAACCCATTTCGTGCATAGCAATGATAGATCCTTATGAGTAGGATTTCCCTCCGCTTGAAAGAAGAACCAACAGAGAAACAAAGGTTTTAGCAAGACCTTTCTCAGTCCCAACAGAAATTTCTCCTACTAGTGAAGCTAGACCAGTCTTAGCAACAAAAGAAGTTCTTAACTGGTAGACTCAGAATGCAATTAGTCAGAACAGAACCTTGACAAAGATTGACTCAAAGCTTGACTTGTTAACTCTCAGAACTGATACTTTGACAAGCAGACTTGATCAAATCTCTGATCAGGTCAAATAACTTTATATGACCTTATCTTCTTAGGCTTATCAACTGGATGCAAATTTGAAGCCGTTTATCGAAAAAGGGTACATTAGACCAGAATTTACCAGAAAAGAGCAAGAACTGTCACAGATTTGAAAGGATTAACAAATAATCGAGCTAGATATTGCAAAGGATCATTTTCAAACCATCTATGACCCTTATCCCTTAGCCTTCTAGTTTTCAAATTCTTACCTATCCAACCTCACTTGTCTCTTATCCAAAAGAGTCTGATTACAATAAGGTTTTCAAAATGTCTTATCCCATTTTAAGAAAGTTGAGAAAAAGCCTCAACCAACTTTTCCACTAGTGCAACCAACTCTTCTTCCTAGACCTTCAATAAGGCCACTTTATTTTCCTTCATTTGAAAAACCGTTTCAGCCATCATACTTATACGCTAAAGATCAATCATTATCTGATGACGGCTCAAAAACCAAAACTAATCCTTCCACTGAATATAATTCTAGCTCTGACTCTGAGACATATCATGCTGATATCTCCATAGTAGCAATGGTCCAACCAGATCCTACAGTTGAAGATCCCTCTGACAAAGAACTATTTGTCTCAAATCCATCTGAGCCTAAAAGAATAGATTACAAGCCAACTACAGGTCTATGGTTTACTTTTGATGACCTTCAATTCCTCCAGAACAATGGAGAGACAAACTCCATGAGTTTGGAGCATGGATTGATTTGCAGCTCGCCAGACATGATACAAATCTTGGGGAAGTTCTCACAGAATTCCTCTTAAGATTGATGGGAATATTAAGAGAATAGTTCCAAAGCCTTAGTATTAGAAAATAACGACAGCCAGAGTTGATAATGTAGAAACTCTCTTGGGACTTGGTCACAAAGAATTCATTGGTGATTTTCAGATTATTGATAAAAGGCATCGCTAAGGATATTTTGAGATCAATTGTTGTTCTTTGGATAAAAGAGACTTGCAGAAACATTTCCAAAGAATGTTTGAGAAATACTATGTGCTAGGAGGAGCCAATGATGTCAATCTCAGGCATACTTTTATTGCCTCTCTCCCAGATGAACAACAACCAGAACTTCATAGAGCTATTAATGCACTTCATAAAAATATGACTGATTTCTATAGGAGAAATCTACCAGCTAGCATTAGCAATTGTAGATAAGCTCTATGAACAACAAAAGTTTTTCAAAGGAATGCTGAAGGACAATCAAAACTAAAGCCTACTTGCAAGAAATCTTATCTGAAGATAAAGTGCAAAGATCATAAAGATTGCTCTTGTTCTACCAAGAGAAAATCTCATTATCGTCGCTTCAGATATTAAAGGGCTCATATTCTAGAAGAAGATTGAAGAAGCCTTTTCTAAGATATTTCAAGAAGCACAGACCTCATTCAAAGAAGTCTGATAAATGCTATCTATGCAGAAAGAAAGGACATTTTGCAAAGAATTGTCCTAACAAGACAAAAAGAGATATGAAGATATTGCAACAGTTGCAGACTATTCTAACAATCAATAAAGATGAAGATATTGAATTTGATATTAAAGAACAAGATGTTCAAGATGAAAAAACACAATATGTTCTTCCTTTCTCTAAAGATAAAACAACTAACTCTGAATCTTCATCCCAAGAGGGTGATGATCACCAAGAGTATTTATGCTCCCTTAAACAAACTATCTATACCCTCCAAGAGAATCCATCTTCTCTTGGTTCTCCTTCTTCTCAGCCAGAACACAATAAAGCCATTCCCAAACCAAATGTCAAAGTCCATATCCTTCCAGGAGATGTGAAAAACCAATTCCTGTTATTGGTTTCATTGATACTGGAGCTTGCAGAACCATCATGAACCCTAATATTCTTCCTTCTGAAGAACGGATTCCTTGCGATCAAAATTTTATCATTGCAGATTCAAATTTATTCAAGATTGAATGGATTATAAGAAGAAATATTGGTATCCAATTCTTTTCAGGATGTGTTCTATGGATGAAAGTTCTTGAAAGTGATTACTTGGGAAAGATATCCTTATTGGATTTGATACTTATTATCATACTATGAATCTTCAGGTATTGCTTAGAGGAATTAGATATAAAAATTTCTTTAGTACATATACTAAAGTTCTTAGTTTGTTTGAAATTCAACAAGCACCACTAGGATATGAAGGCATTCAAGATCATCTTCTTAAGTTTTGTGCTGAAAGTCATCAACAATTCTCTCATCCATCTCTATTATGGAAAAATCAAGAGTTTTTTTTAAAAAATCAAACTCCCCTTCAAGAAGAATAAAGATATCAATCCCACAAAAGCTTCTCATCTAGGAATGAATCTAGAAGATCTTAAACGTGCTAAGGAAGAATGTTTTGCACTTCTCAAACAATGTCTCATTGAGCCAACAAAATCTGATTCGGCTTGCCAAGCATTCTATGTTGAAAAAAAGATTAGAAATCAAAAGAGAGAAGAAAAGGTTAGTTATTGATTATAAACCCCTTAATATTTTTCTCCAAAATGACAAATTTCCTCTACCAAATCCTAGTTCACTTACAATCCATTTTAAAGATGCTAAGATCTTTTCTAAGTTTGATCGGGTTTTTAGTAATTGGGTATTCACCCAAAAGATCACTCTAAAATTGCTTTTTATATTCCAAATGCCCAATATCAGTGGATTGTTATGCCATTTGGGCTTAAAGTCGCCCTATCACTATTTCTAAAAGCCATGACCAGAATCTTTGAACTTATGCTTGATAAGCTTCTCATTTATATCGATGACCTATTGCTTTTCTCAAAAGATAAAAATTCCCATAAACTTTTATTAACCCAGTTTGGGAAAATGATTGAAAAATATGAGATTATGTTGTCAGCAAAGAAAGGAGAAATAGGTGTCAGAAGCATAGAATTTCTCAAAATGAATTTTGAAAATGGTCAGTATTATCCTAGACCACATATTGCAGAAGAATTGCTCAAATTTGCAGAAGAGAATCTCACAACAAAGCAAATTCAGCAACTTTTGGGGATTGCCAATTATCTTAGGGATATTATCTCTCATGTGTCTAATCACACCAGCCAGCTATCCAAACTTCTAAAAAAGCATCCTCCTGTGTGGGGAACAGACTATACTTTAGCTGTCCAAATTCTCAAAAGAATTGCACAGCATCCACCTCCTTTAAAGATTCTTGACAAGGGATTGCGCACTACTATAAAATGAGAAATACTTGATGCTAAATACTTGACGGTTATAACACAAAACCGTCAAATATGGTGTGGCGGAAGAAAACTTGACGGTTTTAAGAGAAATCGTCAAGTTTCCTTTGATAATACTTGACGGTTTTTTCTTTCATGATACTTGACGGTTATATTATAACAGTCAAGTATTATTATAGAAACTTGACGGCTCCTTGTTAAACCATCAAGTTTTATAATACTTGACGGTTTTTCATTATAACCGTCAAATATTCTATTAAAATACTTGACAGTTATAATGAAAAACTGTCAAGTATTATGTTTTAAAACCCCCATTTCTATTCATTTTGCTCTACCGGGTTTGAAATTTCTAGCGCCTCTTCTAGTTCCTAACCTGTACCCAGACATCGCAACTCTCTAAACTATCATCCCTACCTCATTTTTGGTCTTTCGCTTTGTTTTTATTGATCATCCTTCATCATCGTCCCTCTCTGTGTCCTCCTTCGTCATTGAGGCATCCTCCAGCATTGTCATTGTCGCACATTGTTTTCTAGATTTTACAGCTTCAGGTTAGTCCCTCTTCGCGTCCTCCTTCGTCACTCGCTCCCCTTATTTCTTTTAGTGGCTCCTTTGAAATGATTATAGTTGAAAGAGGATGATAGGATGAGCAATTATTTTTGCTCTATTATAGTTGTTCTATTCAGCCGAATGGGTTTTTTCACATTTTGATAGTTTTGGGTTTAGGGTCTTTTCAATTTCTGTTTTAGCAATAAATTGTTTGCTAAATTATCAAAATTGTTAATGTTTCAATTTTGGTTTCTGTAATTGAAATTGACTGAGGCTATATGTTTTATGTTTTTGAATGTTAATTAATTTGTATGTTGTTATATATTGAAATTGCCTTACTGCTAGTTTTCTGCTTAATTAATACTTCGTTTAAAGTTAAATAGAAGGCATAAAGCCTGGGGAATGCTAAGTTATAAGTTGTTGTGCTGCCAAATTTTTTTGAAATGGAATAGTACATCAGTAGTAGTAGAATATTTTTCAAACTGAAGTGAAAGTGAATTTTTGTTGAATTACTAGTTGCTAACAACTAGAATTACTAATTGTTAACAAGTAGAATTAAAAAGGGATAAATGTGATCAATAATGCCTCATGTGTTGACTTTCTATTTTTGTTTAATTCTCACAATATCTTTGAGTCACTGATCACATTTTCCTCTAAATGATTCATCTTAGTCGAGGAACATGGGCAAGGAATGGATGTCTGCCAATCATTTATCAAAGGAATATTGGGATGGGATAGAAGATTTTATTAAGTTTGCGATTGAGCACGCTGATGATCGCAGCAGGATTATTTGCCCCTATCTTAAGTGTTGCCTTCTGAAGTGGGTTTCTCCATCCAATTGTGAGAGCCACTTAATTATCAATGGAATTGATCAAAGTTACAAGTGTTGGACAAAGCATGGAGAGACAAGAGCTGCGAGTAATAGTAGTCGAGGGCATAGTGAAAGCTGTGGATCATCTAATCTTGACATGAGTACATGTGAAGCTGATCGTCTTGAGGAGATGACAAATGCAATTGAACGGGAACTTGACGATTGTCCTGAAATGTTTGACAGATTGAAGTGTGATGCTGAGACACCTCTATATGAAGGTTGTACTGATTTCACAAAATTATCTGCAGTGTTCAAACTGTATAATTTGAAAGCAAGAAATGGGTGGAGTGACACGAGCTTCACAGAATTGCTGTTGCTTGTTAAACAAATGCTACCAAAAGAAAATGAACTTCCAAGCAAAACGTATGATGCAAAGCAAGTGTTGCGCTTTGCCGGCCTTAGCGATGAGAAGATACATGCTTGCTCCAACGATTGCATTTTGTTTAGGAAGGAGTATAAGTCACTAACTGAGTGTCCTAAGTGTAATGCATCGCGCTACCAAGAGAATGGGAAGAGCCTGAAGAAGGCATTATAGTATTTTCCCATTGTGCCAAGATTCAGACGTTTGTATAGTAATGTAGAATATGCGAGAAATTTAAGGTGGCATGCAGATGAAAGGGTTAAAGATGGCATGCTTCGCCATCCTGCTGATTCTCCAGAATGGAAGAAGTTTGATATTGAGTATCCTGAATTCAGAAAAGAAGATAGAAATCTACGCCTTGCATTAGCCACTAACGGGATGAACCCGTATGGTATGCAAAGCAGTACCCATAGCACATGGCCAGTGATTTTATTTATATATAACCTTCCTCTGTGGCTATGCATGAAATGCAAGTATTCAATAATGTCTATGATAATCTCTGGGCCAAGGCAACTGGGAAATGACATAGATATATATCTAGCTCTATTAATTGAAGACTTGAAAGTATTGTGGGAGAATGGAGTTGATGTATATGATGCATATAAGGAAGAAACATTCAAGTTGAGAGCTATGTTATTTGGCACAATTAACGACTTTCCTGTGTATGGCAATCTCTCAGGGTATAGCATTAAAGGGCAACTTGGTTGTCCCATTTGTGAAGAGAGCACAGATTCCATAAGGTTGAAGCATGGAATGAAAAATTCATATATGGGACATTGTAGATAGTTGCATCATGATCATCCTTACCGGCGATTCAAAAAATATTTCAATGGGAATTCAGAAGAAGGTAAGGCACCTACACCGTTGATTGGGGAGGATGTATTTCAAAAGGTGAAAGGTATAGATTGTGAATTTGGAAAACCTTTCGCGAAGTATGTTGGGACAAGTGGGTGGAAGAAGAGGTCTATTTTCTTTATACTGTCGTATTGGATAACCCTGAATGTGAGACATATTCTTGATGCTATGCATATTGAGAAAAACGTATGTGAAAGTCTATTTGGCACATTACTCCATATTCCCGGGAAGACCAATAATGGCATAAATGCCAGGCTAGACATGGTTGAAATGGGGATAAGGGAGGAATTGGCACCAGAGGATAAGGGAACTCATACATTTCTTCGTCTGGCAGCTCACACACTTTCTAGAAAAGAGAAAAGTAGTTTTTGTGAGTTTCTTGCTTCAGTAAAAGTGCCGGAAGGTTACTCTTCTGACATTAGTAACCTTGTTTCAATGAAGGATTTGAAGTTAAAAGGTTTAAAATCTCATGACTGCCATGTCTTAATGGAAAACTTTATTCCAGTAGCAATACAGGCTATTTCTTGCCTGATAAGGTGTGAGTTACGATCACGAAGTTATGTTTCTGCTTTAAGTCTCTTTGCAACAAACTGATTAATCCCAGTAAATTGCCAAGATTGCAAACCCGAATCATAGTTACATTATGCGAACTTGAAATGTATTTTGCCCCGGCCTTTTTTGACATTATGGTCCTTTAACCATCCACTTAGTTAGAGAGGTCCAACTGTGTGGCCCAGTGTATTTAAGATGGATGTACCCAGTTGAGCGTTACATGAAAATATTGAAAGGGTATGTAAAAAATCGAAGTCGGCCAGAGGGTTGTACCGTAGAATGATATATTTGTGAAGAGGCCACTGAATTTTATACCCATTACTTAAAAAATGCAAGTGATATTGGGGTTCTAATGTCTCGTCGTGAGGGAAGGACAGATGGAGAAGGGATTATGGGAAAGAAAGTTGTAACTATTTCAAACCAATAGTGAGAGCAGGCACATCTATATGTATTGCACAACTCTGAAGAGATTGAGGACCATGTGGATGAGCATATTGATGAGCTAAAGACGGATAATCCCAATAAACTTGAAAGTTGGTACACTAAAACACACAATAAACAATTTACAGCACGGTTGAGAGAGCAGGTGTGTGGCAAGTATAATAATGATCCTAATTCTGTTTCGAAGAAATTAAAGTTGTTGGCAGATGGATCGAGAAAACATGTGATTTCTTTCACAAGCTACCTTATCAATGGGTTCACTTTCTATACTAAATAGCAAGATGATCAGAGTAAATAGCAAAATAGTGGTGTAACTCTTGTAGCTAGTACCATACATATATCGAGTGCCAAAGATAAAAATCCTATCTATACATGTATGTCATACTTTGGAGTGATTGAGGATATTTGGGAGTTGGATTACATTGAATTCAGAGTTCCGGTATTTGGTTGCAAGTGGGTAGATAATAATAATGCATTAAGGATTGATGACTTAAGGTTCATACAATTGAATTTGAATAAGGAAGGATACAAGGAAGAGCCATTCATTCTGGCTTCTTAGGCTACACAAGTGTTTTATGTCCCTAACCCGGCTACTAAAGGATGGTCTATTGTTTTGTTGACTAATAAAATGAATATTGAAGAGACGGGGTATGAAGACAATACAGTTGAAGATGATCCATTTAAAGGTACATCACTTGATTCTCATTTAAATGAAGATCAATCCATGTACGTCAGGCACGATCACAATGACGGAATATGGATTTCAAAGAGGGGGAAAGTGTTTCGTAAGAAGATCAAAACAATTCAAACCACAAAGAATATGCAAAAACATAAGAGTAGAAAAAGAAAAAGATCTTCTTAAACATGCATGTAAATTCTCTTATTATTTTCTTTGATTCTTTTATTTGTTTTAATTTTGTTCAAGTCAATTTCGTCATTAATGACTTTATTTTCATTTAATAGATTCTGATTCATTTTGTTTAATTGAATTTCATTGCAGATGGCAGACGATAGCGGATCTAGCACCGATAATCCATCTCAGCCGAGAGATGCCTCTGACCAGGAGAGACAGTTGCAAGACGAGACAGCACGCATACAAAAGGGCCTTTGTGTCATGCAAGAGGTCGTGAAAGCTCGAATAGAAGGAAAGAAATTTGCCGTATAGTAGAATAAGAAAGGACAAGCTGTACGGTCAAATAAATTTATCAACTATATTGGGGTAGTGGCACGAAGCATCGTGCCCATTACAGTATAGCACTAGAGGAGGGTTGATCGTTCAGTGCGAGACGCTATTTAGACAGATGTATCGGTAATATATTATAACAACTTAAATTTTGTTTTTTTACAAGCTGCGTGACACTAATATGTTGTTTTATAT